AGGTCACAACCAAAGTAACTCTAACTGATCTTTTGCCTTCTACAAAAGCTGCCGTTAGCTTCAGTATTCCCGATCACAAGTCTGGCAAGGTTAGCGCTCTGTGCTTCTTGTATTGCAAATAATTGTGAAGCTTGTTCCTACAAACAATGAATTTCTCTATTCAGTAGGTTTCGGGGATCAAATTCTGTGTTAGTATTTTTCTTACTTCAAAAGATTAGGATTTGGTAATTTATTTATATGTTTTCCAAAACTAGTTGATCTGCCGAAACTCTAAAAATATTGTAATTTTTTTTTAATGCATTTTCAGCTTGATGTAGAGTATGCTCGTGATGGAGTGGCCATGAACTCCAGTATTGGACTGAATCCGACTCCTCTTTTGGAGCTTGCTGCTGCAATTGGCTGCAGTGATGTAGCTTTTGGTGGTGAAATTGGATTTGATACAGCATCTTCATCTTTCACCAAGTACAATGCTGGAATAAGTTTCAACAAGCCAGATTTTTCGGCAGCTTTAATACTGTATGTATCGTAATTCCAATTGTCAAGATATTGACTTATTCTACATTTTTACATATTGATCTACTTTTAAGTTAACCCGTATCTGTTGCAATCATTTTTTTTTTCATAATTTGATTTGCAATTGCATAGGATGGACAAGGGACAAACTCTGAAAGCTTCATATGTTCACTTAGTGAATCCATTGAGTGGAACTGAGGTTGCTGCTGAGATGACGCACAGATTTTCTACCTTGGAGAATGGTTTCTGTATTGGAAGCGTTCACAGAGTCGATCCTTTCACAGTGGTAAAGACTAGATTCACTGATAATGGAAAGGTTGCTTTATTAGGCCAGCGGGAATGGAGGCCTAAATCCCTTGTAACAGTTTCGGCAGAGTACGACACAAAGACCACCAGTGCCACACCCAAGTTGGGCCTAGCCATTGCTATCAAGCCCTGAGTTTATTGAGCTTCATTTGATACTATAACCTTAAATACAATTTTTTGCAGCCGAAGTGGCTTGAATTTTCGCCATCATTCCCCAAGGACCTGGAAAAATCAGGCCCATTCTTGATCATATTATATGACTACAACCTTAAAAAGATTTTTTACGATAAGTTGGAAATTTGTTGCAGCATTGCTATATAAGGCAAATAAAACAACGTTTTGTTGTAGGATCTGCTTGGCCCTTCTCTTGGAACTCGCAAATTTCTTTAATTATTACTACTTTTGAGTTTGGAGTTTTTTGTGCAAGCATTAAGTTTTTATTTGCCTAACTAATAGTGGTAGTTGAGAAGCAGATCGATTTATTTTAAAATACCCAACTGTTTATTTATTTATTAATTTTATTAAACATTGTCATCTAATTTATTAATTGATAATTCTGGAAGTTGGCATGCAGATTGATTTTATTTTAAAATACTCGATTAAAGCTAGAAACTTAATTGAGATAAATTAAAGCACTTGATTAAAATTGCTGAAAGTTCACTAATTGCATATAAAATTTGAAAAATGATACTTATACACTTCATGTGTACATTTGGGTTTACACCCTTACATGGAGGGTGCCGCGAATAAAACTTCCAAGTACAGGAAAATTTTGACAGAAATGATATCGACACTGACATGGCCAAATCTGATTGACCTTTTTTTTCCTTTTGTTTTTCCATCTTTCAATATTGTTATACCAAGTGTTGTCTGTCAAAAACATTTGTACGTATAGCATGATTGGGGGGGCCTGTCAAGATCGAGACTATCATTCTCATCTATTCACGCCCGGAGTATCTAATTACTTAGAAAATTATCGTGATTAAGGAGAAGACTCTCACCCCGTTCAAGATGAAACTCACAAATATCAAGTTTAATGATTTTTATTTTTATTTTTTTGTTATCTCTATCACCTCGTGCTGCACTCTCATGTCCACGAGCAAAAAGTTTCATTGCTAACTGAACTTAGCATACTGTCACGTTATGGTCACCGTACTTTGATTTGCTTCCAACTGGTCATTAAACTTACGAGAAAGTCCCTCCATCCATCACTCCATAAACAACCGTTTGAATGGCTTTTGATGTGGCATGACGGCATCCTCCGTGTCAATAGACGGTGTTATCTTCTTGCCAACGTGAAGAAATGTTATTGCAAAAACTGATTTCATCAGTTGGAAGTGATAACACAAAGTCGAAGGAGGATATCCCCAAATCTCTTCCTAGAACAAACCCTAGAATTCGATTTGCACAAATTGCTTCTCTTCCAATTTCGAAAATTCCCACAGCAGATGATTTCCAATCCCTAATCCTCAATCCCTCCATCATGCCTCATCTTGTGCTTGAAGCAACTGCAGGCTATGGATTCTTCGGGGGATTCGTCTACAAGTGATTGTAATAGTGCTGACTTCGTGATATGTTGACGGCTTTGATTGAGAATAACTATTTTTAAAGATTGCAATCCTCATCTAGACAGGGATGTCAAAGTGTGATACCAATTTGAGGAAATAGAGCAATCAAATTGGAAATCCAAATTGTTTGTATGAAATTGATTTTCGAAAATTCTTTTCATTCAATTTTAGAGAGATTTCAGCAAACGAAAATTCCTATGGAATACACTTATTAGCTATAAGATATTTGTTATAGAGATTGATTAATGTACATGAAAACACATGTTCTGTTTTTTGCTTCAGACGGTTCATTTAGCTGGGAGTTGGTGTTGAAATAATGTACATGATGTCAAGTAGAAAGGCTGAAATTAGTAGGTTGAACTCGGCAATGGACGAGACAACAAAAGTTATTTAGAATTAAAAGCTGAAATATCGAGAAGGAAAGCCTCTTGTCATCTGCTTTGACTCTTCGAGTTGCTTTTCTCGAACCTGATGTAGCAGGACAATGAGAAATGACAAGTTGAAGTCGGTGCAGGACTCCAGCACAACATCTTTTTATTTTTAATGGATGTTATGGAACGAGAGTTTTTCGCTATTCAAATACAACATAAACTAGTTCAACTTCAATTAAGATTTGATCAAGCACACGTTCATGCACAACTTCACATAAGTATGTTCACTCCCACATCAAACAAGTCTTTGCAAGCATAATAAAATCCCACATCAAACAAGTCTTTGCAAGTATAATAAAATCAAAACAGAAGCCACAAAAAACGAACATGTTCAATGGAAAAAAAGAAATCACCATTCAAAAACACCCTTATCCACAAAAACATTAACACCCTTCTTCACAAGGGTATCTGTACACATCACAAAAATTCCCATACAATTTACATTACTTATCCACATTTATGTTCTAATGTTCAGTCCACCAAAAGTATTAATAATAGCAACAAAAAAATGTTCATTTCCTTCATTCATTGTTTCTGCCCGTGTGTTACTGCTATTTCGGATCTAAGCTCACTTGCGCATATTTCTCTAGCAACCATAGGGGTAGGCATGAACCGCATGGGATGTTCTTCAACTGGGTTATGGCTCTAAGCTCACTTGTTCATTAACCACTACGTTGATGTTCGATTCAACTAGTTCTAATTTTGCTTCGAACCATTCCTATTCGAAAGAAACCAGGAAAGCAATGCACAAATAAGAATGATTAATATTTCAAGGCATTAACTGAACACAAATCGAGAATAAAATGTACACAATACATGCTTAAAGGCTTTACATTATTTCCAGTTGTTTTTTCAGGATACCTAAATATTTATAAAGCACAAACGATTAATAGAAGTTGTTTTTTTCAATACATAACTTAAATCAAATGGTGAAGTAACATTACAAGGCAACTTACTTTAAGGGACATGCAATAACTATCTAAGAAACAGAAACAATGAAACTACACTTCCAGTGTCAATCATTTTTGTCATAGCTTTCACCAAACGCTTATGTCTTAAGCGAGAAGACTGATTGAAATCCAGCATAGTTGCACTCGAGCGATGATCCAGATCCATCATTTGAGTTAGATTTCATAACTTTGTGCGAATTTGAAGATATTATCCATGAAGAGAAATATTTTTTCTTCCAATTCAATGCAGAAGTATCCAAAACTAACTTAAACCATAGAATGCCCCAACTGCTTTTTATTATTCATTTGGTGAATCCAAAAATTTGATCTTCCTTTCAAGTTTTACCATTCACCTTTTGGCAATATTAACAATTTGAATGAAAATAATTTTCAAAAATCAATTTCATACAAACAATTTGAATTTCTAATTTGATCGCTCCGTTTCTCTAATTGGCATCATACATTGTCATCCCTATCTAGAAGTGGATTGCAATCTTTAGAATAAAAAAATCATTCTTCTCAATCAAAACCGTCAACATATCACAATCAAACTCAGCATTATTACAAGCACTTGTAGGCGACTTACCCAATGAAACCATAGCCTACGGTTGCTTCAAGCACAATATGAGGCATGATGGAGGGATGGGCGATTAGGGATTGGAAATCAACTGTTGCGGGGATTTGCAAATCGAATTCTAAGGTTCATTCTAGGAAGAGATTTGAGGATTTCCTCATTCGCGTTTGTGTGTGGATTTCCAACTCATGAAATCTGGTTTTTGCAACAACGATTCTCCAAGTGGCAAGAAGATAACACCGTCTATTGACACGGAGGACGTCGTCATGCCACTTCAGATGCCATTCAAACGGTTGTTTATGGAGTGATGGATGGAAGGAATTTCTAATTAGTTGAATGACCAATGAAAAGCATATCAAAGTATAGTGACCACAATGTGACAACATGCAAAATTCAGTGTGTAATGAAACTTTTTACTCCATGTCCACCGACAGCCACCACTGCTCTTTAATCTTTATACACTTCTAACTCACTCATATCCCTAATTTTTCACACAGTGGAGCACATAAAATGTCTCACAACCATTGCGATAATGACACGATTCCTCTACACTCAACCTCCCAATTGGACATTATGAGATTGAAAAACTTATCAACTCCCAACCCTCCACCGTCCGCCCAGCGCACACCTCACTCGCCTCTATCCCCATTTCTTCTACTTATCCTCTGCTGTCCCCTCCCTCCTTTATCCCCTCCAATCTCCCTTCACCCACCAATCCGAAGCTGGCGCCTGTCCCTTCAGTCCTCTCCACAATTCCACAACTCCCTCCTCTCTCTTCAGAGTCTGGTGGCGGTATTTCAATATTTGGCTTTGGTTTGCCTCCAAACACACTAACGGAACCTGTTTGGGATACTGTTAAGAGAGACTTGTCCCGGATCGTCAGCAATTTGAAGCTGGTGGTTTTCCCGAATCCTAATAGGGAGGATCCCGGAAAGGCTTTGAGAGATTGGAATCTCTGGGGGCCCTTCTTCGTCATTGTTTTCCTTGGTCTCACTCTTTCCTGGTCTGCCTCCGTTAAAAAGGTATTTCAACTTGTATGATAGTATGATTAGCATTTTATTGCAATGTAAAACCCAGTCTTCTGAATTATTATCTTGCACTGATAGTATATTTGTACTATGTAAATATATCTACGCTTTTAACATGATTTTCCCATAAATGGGTTGGTGGAGATTGAATTACATTCACCCCTGGCGTATTTTCAAATAGATTCGTGCAAGATTTTACTAGTAATGTGCATTGTAACTAAAGTGAGAAATTTTCTGGAAGCGTTTTAGGAATGGTAGTGTGACTGACTGTATTTGTCAAATTGGGTAAGCCAACATATAGTAAATGTTGGTCTCTGGTTGTGTTAAAATACAAATCATATCAGATTATATCTCCTCAGGTGTAGACGTTTACTGCCATGATCAATTGCTGAGTGTTAGGACCACACGTTGCTGTTGCAACAATATTGATTCTTCACGTGCTTTCCCACTCTTTTAACTTGCTCATCACTCCAAGCTTTGTATATTTAAAACCATTGTATTGTACTCAATTTATAGTTGTATGATAAAAGTTTTCTTCCTCTTAGATTATCAGTAATTCTTAATTCAGTTTCCTTTAAATTTCAACTTGGTATCAGAGTTATCAATGGCTAGCATCGGATCAAACGACAATATGCCTTCAGCTCCGCAAACCATCAGTACGTTGATGCCTTCAATGTTGGGAGGAAATCAGCTACCGTCTTCTGGGATCAATCTCACTCAAGTTCCACAAGTGAAGCTGGACTGGAATAATTTTCTTTTGTGGAAGAACATGATTATGCCAATAATCAAAGGCGATAATCTTGAAGGCTTCATCAATAGAACTAATGGTTGTCCAGCAGAGTTTCTAGCAACACAAACTGCTGGTTCAGCTGAAACTACTATTGAGATGACACCTAATGTTGAATACAGGAAGTGGATGTCGATCGACCAACTATTGATGGGTTGGTTATATTCGTCAATGACATCAACCTCCTGTGATCTATGGAAAGCTATTCAAAAAAGCTTTGGAGCTATGAACAGGTCAAGAGTTACCTTCCTCACAGTGAACTTCAGATGACTATATCAATACCTCAATACTATCAAGCAGCTAGTAGACAATCTGGAAATTGCTGGGAAGATCATTCCTCACAGTGACCTTATTACTCAAGTATTGGCTAGCTTAGATGAAGACTATACTCCTATTGTCGTTCAAATCAATAGTAGAAAAACTATTACCTGGCATGAGTTGCAATCTGTACTCATGACTTATGAAAGTAGATTCGAACACCTCAATGCTTTTAAAAATAGCCTTGCCTCTATCAACTTAACTCAAGCCTCAACAAACTTCACTAACAGAGCTAGTACTAGCAGAGGAGGAAGAACGAACTATGGTGGAAGAAATTACAACTATAGGGGAGGAAGATGCAGAGGAAGAGAAGACAGACAAATAGCAAGTAAAGGACCATGCCAATATGTGGAATGACCAACCATTCAGCAGCAAGGTGCTTAAATCGTTACGATAAAAGGTATATGGTTGCCAAACCTGATCAAAACTATCAAAGCTACTCCTCCGAACCTGCTGTTTTTCTAGCCTCATCAAGGACTATTACAGATCCATTATGGTTTGCAGACTCGTGTGCAAGCAACCATGTCACTGCTGAAAAGGGGAACCGATTGAGGCACATCAGTATGGTGGTAAGAAAAAATTAGCTTTTGGTAATGGTAATAAACTTCACATATCCCACATTAGCACAAATCACTTGAGCACACAGAATAATATGTCTTTGATTCTCAGACATGTGTTATTGGCACCTTCTATAAAAAAAAAATCTGCCAAGTGTATCACAGTTAACTTCTGATAATGGCGTGTTCATGGAATTTCATCCTAATTTTTGTGTTGTCAAGGACAAACGGATGAAGGAAGTGCTGCTGGAAGGAAAGCTTAAGCACGAGTTGTATCACATTGAGCTACCAGATCAAGTTAAAAGTTCGTCCTGTCAAGAGTCAGTCCAATCTCCAGATCAAGTTAAAGAGTCTTCCTATCCAGAGTCATTTCATTCAAATAATTTTAATTCATCAGTCCTTGTTGAGTCCAGTAGTGCCACATAGTGTAATTCTAAACTCAAACTGTGGCACATGAGGCTTAGACATCCTACTATTCCTGTAATGTCACAAGTGCTTAAAATCTGTAATGAAAAACTTGATGTCAATGAAATTAAACACTTCTGTGATGCTTGCCAACTAGGAAAATCTCATTCCCTGCCATTCAATTTGTCCAGTTCACATGCCTCAACACCTCTTGACTTAATCCACACTGATGTTTAGGGCCCTGCACCTATGCAGTCTACCTCTAGCTTTAAGTATTACATCATCTTTATTGATGACTACAGTAGGTATACTTGGATATACCCCTTGAGAAATAAGTCTGAAGCCTTAAATTCCTTCATCCAATTCAAAAATCTGGTTGAGAACAAATTTGACAGAAGAATAAAATCTCTTCAATCAGATTGAGGAGGTGAATTTAGGTCATTTACTCAATTAGCTCAACAATCAGGCATTGAAATGAGACTCTCATGTCCATATACCTCATCTCAAAATGGAAGAGCTGAAAGAAAACCTCGACATATTTCTGAAACCGGCCTGACTCTCCTTGCTCAAGCAAATATGCCGTTGCACTACTGGAGGGAAGCTTTCTATACAGCAGTCTATCTTATCAATAAATTACCAAAATGGAAGAGCTGAAAGAAAACACTGACATATTACTGAAATTGGCCTAACTCTCCTTGCCCAAGCTAGCATGCCCCTGCACTATTGGTGGAAATCCATTCACACAGCCACCTATCTCATCAACAAGTTACCTACTCCCACTCTCAAAATGAAGTCACCCTCTCAAGTTCTAAACTGGAAAAAACAAATTTTAATTCTCTCAAAGTCTTTGGATGAGCTTGCTTTCCTTGTTTAAGACCTTATCAGGATCATAAATTCAGTTTTCACTCTACTAAGTGTGTGTTCCTTGGGTTAGCAACTCTCACAAAGGCTACAAATGTCTCAGTGCTACTGGGAAAATTTACCTATCCAGACATGTAGTCTTTAATGAAAAGGATTTTCCATTTAAGTCAAGCTTTCTCAACAAAAACAATAGTCCACAAAATTCAGAAACCATAGTCCATTATTCACCACTTCACACCTTTCTAAACCTTGATTAAGTATGCTCAACTGATGCAACTCATGTAAGTGCTACTCATTCTGCAGCACCTCACAGGCCAGATCAACCTGTAGTGTCTGAAAATAATGCACTTGAAGTAAATGAATACTCACAAATGAGCAATGAACACGCTCAAAAGGAAGATCAAGGATAATCTGAAAGCACTTAGGTAGAACCAACAGAAGAGTCAAATCAAGATGAAACTGCAGAATCAAGTAGACAGGTTGTTGAACATCCTATGGTTACCAGGAGTAAAGCTGGTATATTGAAACCTAAAGTCTACTCAACAGAATGTAAAGAATATAGAATGGAAGCAGACAACACTGAACCTAATGATGTTACTGAAGCATTGTCAAACACAAATTGGAGAAAAGCCATGGAGGATGAGTATAGAGCTCTAATTAGAAACAAGACATGGGAGCTTGTGCCACCATTGGTAAATCGGAAAGTGATAGGAAACAAGTGGGTGTTCAGGCTCAAACGTGACATTGCAGGTAATGTTTTGAAGTATAAAGCCAGGCTGGTTGCAAAGGGCTTCTTGCAAACTTCAGGCGTTGATTATCACGAAACTTTTTGTCCAGCGATAAAAGCATCTACTCTTCAAATAATCCTTACAATTTCTGTCTCAAGAGGCTGGAGTGTTAGACAAGTGGATATCAACAATGCCTTCTTGAATGGAAAGCTAAACGAAGTAATATACATGAATCAACCAGATGGTTTCATTGACAAGGCCTATCCTAACTTTGTCTGCAAGCTTGAAAAGGCACTTTATGGACTCAAGCAAACACCTAGGACGTGGTATGAAAGGCTAAAAGGAACATTGTTAGACTGGAAGTTTTTCAAATCTAAGGCAGACAATTCCATTTTCTTCTACATGAATCAAAGGCAAGTCATTTTCTGTTTGGTATACGTAGATGATATTGTAATAACTGGGAATGATCACAGAATGTTACAAGACTTCATTGAAAGACTTAACACTCAGTTCGCACTGAAAGACATGGGTGAATTGCATTAATTTTTGGGAGTTGAAGTAAGGATATATCAGTTAGGAATGCACCTTACCCAGACTAAGTACATAAAAGACTTGTTAAAAAGGTTTAACTTTGAGCATCTTAAGCCGTGTGCAACCCCTATGACAGTAGGCAAAGGTCTTTCCGTAGATGAAGGAGAGAAAATGGTGAATCCATCTCTGTACAGAAGTGCAATAGGAGGCCTGCAATATCTTGGGCATACACGACCTTATATAACCTTTTCAGTTAACAATCTGAGCCAATTTCTACGATCTCCCTTAGATGTGCACTGAAAAGCAATAAAAAGAATTTTTAGGTACTTGAAAGGGACAATCGAACAAGGTCTTTGGATACAAAGGAATGACAGAATAGATGTTACTGGTTTTGCTAATGCAGATTGGGCATCATGTCATAATGACAGAAGATCGACAGCCCGCTATTGCGTGTATCTAGGAGATACCTTAGTGGCCTGGTCTTCAAAGAAGCAACAAGTTGTGTCAAGGTCGAGTGCTGAATCAGAGTACAGAGCTCTGGCTTAAGCTTGTGCTGAAATCACCTGGATTGAGTCTTTACTTAAGGAAATCAAGCTACAACCTACTTCATCTCCTATCTTATGGTGTGATAATCTCAATGCCAGCGCTCTAGCCTCCAATCCAGTCTATCATACTAGAACTAAACATATTGAGCTAGACATACACTTTGTCAGAGATAAAGTGCTGAAGGGAAATTGAAATCTTTCATCTAGAGGTGTCAATCCGGGTGGTCCGGGCCGAGTCGGCCCGACAACATGTGAGCCCGGTAACGGCCCGCGCGAAACAAAGCCCGCCCGCTGCGGGTTCCGAGCCGGTTACGGGTCGGCCCACAATTTGGACTACAACCCAGGCCCGCCCGCTGATCCATCCGGGTCAAGCCCGCGGGGGTCACGGGTCGCGGTTGGTTCCGATTTGGCCCGTATGATTGTATAAATAAAATTATAAAAATATAGAATTTTTCATATTTATAGCAAAAAATATTTTTTTTTGTTAAATGTAAACTAAGAATTGAACAAAATGACAAATTCATAATTATATCAAAAAAATTTTACATAGAATTCAAATTTAATATTACGTGAATTATTTATAACTTTGCAAACTTAAATTTAACTTAAACAAATAACAACTACATCAAAATGCATGTCTAATTATTATTATCAAATATTTATAGTATAAGTACATCCCAACTAGGTTGACACCTACTTAACTATAATTTAGTTGTTCAAAAATTATATTTTTGTTTTCCAATCAATCTTCAGGAATTGCAAGATTTTTGAA